CTGTAAGCAGATATTTTCAAGTCTTGGAACATTCACTTATCTCAGTTTCTCATCAATAAAAATGCTCTCATTTTCATTTAATGGAAATCTCTGCATTTACAGTGGCATGTGTGGTATATAGATATATTCATGGAGGCCCATGAGTCATTATTTACAACTTAGATATGTCATATGTGTATATGTATATACTTTACATATATGTAAATTTGATTTTATATAATTAATTATTGACATTTAGGAATTCATTTAATATTCTATCTAAAACTGTTGTTATTGGGCCGGCCCGGTGGCGCACTGCTACAGTGCGCCGCTTGGGAGCGCAGTGGCACTCCTGTCGAGGGTTCAGATCCCACATACAGACCGGTTCCCGCTCACTGGCTGAGCGAGGTGCGAGCACAACACCGAGGGTTGCGATCCCGTTGCCGGTCCCGGTCCGGTACGGGCGCGACACTGAGGGTTGCGATACGTTGCCAGACACGAAAAAAGACAAAAAGGAAAAAAAAAATAAAACTGTCATTATTTTAGTATCATCCATTTTAGTATGTAGTGAAATACAGTTTTAGTATATAGTGAGATTTAATCCACTAACAAAAGAAAAACACATAATCATGACTTCATGATTTCAGAAAAGTTGGTGTTATACATTTCTATATATTGTGATCAAAACTTTTAACTGCTTAAAAACTATTGTTAAATCAAATAACATTCAAACAAATTTCTTATTAACAAGAATATGTTTTTAATTTTGAGTTTGAATAACTTGAAATTTCTCTTGTTTGGATTTAAATTGTATCTAAATAATTTATGTATAATTACTAATTTCTCTGCTATCTAGATAAAATCTATGTTTTATATTTAGTTAACTTCCCCAAATAAATTTATTATCTAATACATATTTTATCAATTGCTGACTCATCATTCTCCCTTAACATCTAAAAACATGTAATACAGTTCATTTCTTTTGTAAACTCCAAATGCTGAACTTATTTGTAAACATTTGTTTACTTCAGGCAAATGTGCTAGTAGTTGATTAAATTAATACATTCTCCCAGAAAAACAATTAAAAATTTGAGCCCCTCTTTTGCATCCTGAAAATCAAAAGTTAAATATCACATAAATTGACTAATCTGGGTATTAGATAGTTATCATTTCTTAATTTTAAAATGCATAAATTATGCATCACACATCATCAATTTGACTATTTTTATTTATAGATGTCTTACTGTTCATGTTCAAATATCCTTTGATTAATCATAGGATGTAAACATGCAAGGCATACATTAAGATCTTCTAAAAATTGACATATCATATTCAGCAAGTTACTTATAATATTAGTGCAATTACAGATTATTTTATTTTGTGGACAGAATTAATAATGTTGAGCCAGTATTTAGTATTTTTATTGTGTGTGTCCATATATATAATTTTTCTGTACATAAATTAGTATATTTTTATTCTTAGGAAAAATTTTTTTAAAAAATAATTACAAGGAGAAAATAGCCTGCACTTTTTATCCTGTACAGTATTTGATGCAGTATTCTTTGTATGAACAGTATGATGGTTTTAAAAACACACGGTATTCTAGGTAACTAAAATATGAGGCAAATAATTGGTACTAGTGTTTTCTATTACATATTTCTTTACAAAAATATAAGTGCAAAATTTCATAATCAATGTCTAAATAAAAGGCCAGAAGTGAATGCACCAAACGAGGACCTTTGAAACATTTGCTAAATAATACTGAATGTTGTCACTTACTCGGAGTGAGAACCAGGAAGACCAGTGAAGATGTGGTCTTGAAAATTTATTCTTCAGACAATAACAATTTTGTACTCATGCTAAAGACAGGGACAATTTTTTTTTTTTTTTTTATGAACAGAAGTAACAAAATCACTTAGTTCAATATGAATTTAGTTGATCTTGTCAAAAAAGAGGACTTTTCCAGTTCCCTTAAAATGTTTATAATATTATGAAGAAATTCATTTAGTAAATATATATTGAACTTCTAAATTATGCTAGGGTTTCAACAATATACTTGGCAGAGTTTTTCCCTTCAAGGACAAATTGTCTAATGGGGAGACATATACTAATAAAATCGGAGCAGATACAAAGTTTAGATAGAAGACAAAAGTGTCAAATATAATTTTCTTGGTATTTCTGATCATTCAAACTAATTCCAACTAATCTTACGCTGACGAATTTTAACTCATTCCAATTATTCTTCTTGTGCTGAATATTTAAGCTATTTCAACTTTTACTATTTCACCATAGAACTGAAATAATTGAATGGACATGAATGAAGGATAAAACAAAAGACCAGAATGAAGAAGCCCGCAAAATTAGTGGGAAAACAAAAAGGTTTAAAATGTTTCAAAACACATAAGGTGAAATAAAGCTAGTCGTAGTTAAAAACATGTAACAGTGACTGGGAGAAATTTCTTTTTGACAGGTAATTTTCTTGACCCAAGAGTCATATTGGCCAAGATGCTTTTCACCAAATTACTTTCAGCCAGTTTGTTTTTAGCCACATATGAAGTCAAAAGGGGAGGTTGCTGAAGAGATAAGTAGGAACCAGACTATCTGTCAATAATGATTTATAGTATTACCTCACTTATCTGGGCATTTAAAAGGGTTCTAGAAAGTTCTTTTAAAGTAAATTAACAATCCTTAAATTTACCCATATTTTAAACATTTTCTGAGTATCATTAGCCTATGGGAAAAAAAATCTGAGTTTAATACATTTTCACACTTGTAACAAATAAGGATATTTGCTTTATAAAAGAATGTTCATACTATATGAAAATACATAGACTCTCATTAAAACAATTTAGGATTTATTATCACCTATCATTGTTGATGGAATAAAGGAAAAAATCTAAATAATATTTGTCTTAGCTAAATTAATCAAACAAACAGCAAAACCCTGTAACTTGTATTTCAGATTTTTAAAGATTATTTTAACCCAATGTCTTAGAGCAAATAGCCTAATATGGTATCATCTGTAATAAATTTGGTAATATCAGGGTTTTTACATGGAGTTTTAAATGATTAATATTATTGTTAGTTCATATATTTGATAGCCCTGGAACATATTGGCTTTTGCATTTATTAAATACATATATTTTGAGTTACTAATGAGCACATGATTTTGCAAACAAGGAATGTATTTTCTATTTTAGATATGCATCAAAGTGAAAATTACACACACTTTTAAAATTTGAATAATGTTTTCATTTACCTCCAATCTGCCTAAACTATTTAGAAAACCTTACCATGAAATAAGAAGTTATTATGAAATTAGAAAACAGAAGTGTATAGCACACATAAACATAATACTTCATTTATAGTGCAGGTAAAGTCAGTTCTACTTTATGATCATGGTAAATTTCACTCCAGGCAATACCCATTTTCCCTTGTGATTAATGCAGCACCATTGAGTTTTCAGAAGGTTGTTTTCCTAATTTGACTGTCCAGGAAGTGTTTTTCCAATGGAAAAACAGGTGTGAACATCAGTACTAAACATAAGACAGTGATCTCATGCTGTTTTCTGGTGTCTCCAGTGCAGAGAATTCAGCGGGTAGAGACTGCAGATTGAGTAGGGCCATTTATCAGAAGTAAAGAACCAGAAAATGTTTGGTATGACTCAAAAACTTTAACTGAGAAAATGACAGGAAGCCTTTTAATACCAAAATAATCTGTCAAACACTGTGAATATATAGGGGCTGTGTGACAACATGTGAAATCAAACCCCAGTACAGTAATTACAGGTAATTTGGGAACTGTTTCTAATTTCCTCACTGTGTAAATTATATGCCTATTCACTTGAGTCAAGATTTGGCTCTCTGAGGGTCTTACTGAGGCTCTTATAGTTTGACACTGGCTGTTTTATTTTTTAAAATTATTTTATTATTTATTTATTGAAACAGAATTGATTGTACATATCTCTGGGGGATAGCATTGAATATCAATACCTTTGTGCAATATGTGATGCTCATATCAAGATAATTACTATATTTATCATGCAACATATTCATTTTTTGTGGCCCTTGTTTCAGTGTTTTCTATGCTACTCTTTCATGTTTTTATCTAGTTTTAAGTAAAAGGAAGGAAGATCTGAGTATTAAAAACTAAGCTATTCTTTCTGTTTATTATTTTCTCTGTATTTGTATCTACTATTAACTTTTGGCAATTTGACTAATTATGGAGTGGAGGTTGAATGTTATGGTTCAAGTTTATGTTCAGTAACCTCTCCTAGGTAAGCCATATTGAAATAAATCATAAACTTTTCAGAGAATTGGGTTCCACACTAGTTGACTCAATACTTGTCAAAGACTCCTAGGTACTGCAAAATTGTTAGAAGGCGTTACCAGCTAATCAGGGTAAGAATTGCAAGATTCTAAACTGTATATTAACATCATTTGTGAGAACAGGAGAAGCAAAATAACAAAAATAATAACAATTGGCTTCTTTTGTTTGTTTCTAAAGAATCCTGTCATTCTATTTCCTGTCATTAAGTTTTCTTAATAGAAAATATCAAAAGGCATTTAATGTGCATATACTCATTCATTGTTAACATTTCTTTAATCTTTTATGGTGGTATTTGTGTTTATTCTGTATGTGTCATTTCTTTGTTTAGTTCTTTGACAAAGCATGCCATTTTTTTTTGTTTTACCTATATGTATTTTGCTATGCATGTAAAACTTTTTAAATGACTCAGTGAACAAATGGATTCTTGTCATTTTAAATTTCACTCTAAATATTGCAAACAGTTTGCATACTCTCAAACATTGCTCCAAGTTTTTGCTTTGTTTTGGAGCATGAAATAAGTGAAAAAAAATGACAGAAACTGTGTGGTACAGTTGGTTTTGTACCTGATGTTCTGTTAAAGCCTGTTAAAGTTAAATTTAAATAAGAAATGTATATTTATAATTTGAATCATTTGTGTTTCTCTTTTGTTTGCATGATATGATTTTGTTTTATATTTTTTTTCCACTCACCAGATGTTCCCAACACTTTGCTTTCCACTACTATCATCCCCTCCCTTACCACTGCAACAGTCACAACCACTGTAGCCATAACAACCAGCCCAACCACATCTGCAACAACCAGCAGCATAAGAGGTACAGTATGCTTCTTTGTTATGGCATAGAAAACACATTAAATAGAGCTGTATGGAGGTTTTTTTAAAAAGTAGAAAAGTTGAGGTCAAATTTTACTTAATTATAAGAAGTCACCTAAATTACTATCAATTAGGGTTACTGAAGTAGAATATGAGACAAAATGGTACATTTTATTTTTTTTAGTGTCACTTATGACTATTACCAAAATATTTCAGAATATAGATGAAAAATATGTGGGACTCTACAACGTTGAGCAAATTTAAAATGTGAACAGAAAGCATAGTTTGTACCCTGCCTTGACACGTAAACAAATAAAGGAGATGTTCAAGGATGTTGTGGTAGCTTTTGCTGTTTTAAGATCCTAGTTTAATGTTAATGACTTGTTATTCTTCTGAAATTTGTTGAATTTGTTCTAAAATTGACATAGCTATAGAGTCATTATAGATTACTCACCACTTAGAACTTCCAAGTAAATATTCAACATACATGTCATCCTAAAGTGATTTGTTGACTGGGTCTACATATCCTACTATTAGAACATTGTGTTCTAAAAGTGATTGTTCTAGGGGCCGGCCTGTGACTCACTCGGTAGAGTGCGGTGTTGATAACACCAAGGCCACGGGTTCGGATCCCATATAGGGATGGCCGGATTGCTCACTGGCTGAGCGTGGTACTGACAACACCAAGCCAAGGGTTGAGATCCCCTTACCGGTCATCTTTTAAAAAAATAAATAAATAAAAAATAAAAGTGATTGTTCTAGAGTTGTCCAGGATGATTGGAATTTATATTTGGCTCCATGAGTAATTTCTGGTGTCAGTATACAAATAAGCATTTTTGTTACAAGGAAAGAAACCTTGAAGAAATTGAAGTAAGCTTAGGTGCAAAAGAAATAATTACATTATGACTGAGAAATATTAAAAGCATTCCTAAGCAGTTGCTAAGTTATTAGTAGATTATGAAGAAATAAAAAAAGTTTTTGAGGGCATATTTAAGTCTGTCTTTTCATACTTCTTACATGTGTTTTGTGTCATGTCGGCTATACTAATAAGTGTTAAACTTAACAATTTAACTTGAAATTCGTGGGGACTTTACATTATTATAAGTACCTTGTATCAAGGATATGTTTAGTATTTTTTTTTTACTTGTAAAGTTTGTTCAATAAAAAACTTTTGTTTTTCATGACATTTTTATTAATTCTTGATATTGAGTTGCTAACTTTGATGTAACAGTTAAAATAGTCTTTCTTTCTCTTGTTCCATAAAAAAAGTATTCTGTCTGTAATTGTTAATTTCTAATAATCATGTCAGCTATAATATACAGTGTACAAGATTGATGCATAAATATGTTTGATGATAGCAGCAATAAGAATTTCTCAGAAATACGTAGGTTTATTTTTGTATGTCTGAACAAAGTTTATTTGAGCTAAATCTACAAGTGAGAAGAGTTTAAAGATCTTTTTCATAAAAAATTATGTAAAAATAGAAAAGACATAAAAATGAAAAAAGGCAAAAAATACTTTATGACATACAAAATAAAAGATGTCTAAAGTTATACTTTGCTTTACTTTGTTATATTCTGAAAAAATTTTTATAAACAGTAATTAAAATGATATGTGATTATTGCATACTAACAACTTAATATCTATGATGATATTAAGTTCTGACTATACAAACAAATCACTGTGATGGAAAAGAAGGGAGATGTATTGACTTAATTTTTTTAAAGGTCTATTTGCAATACAGAAGCCTAATAATCAATTATTTGTTTGTTCTTCAAAAGATATTTATTGAATACTTTCTATATGTACGGCACTATGCCAGGCTGCAAAATTATAAAAATTACTTGTTTTGTCTAAAATCACTAGCAGTCAAATTAATACATTTTCCCCCAAACAGTGTTAGTATTTAATCTTTAGTGAAAAATGTTCATGTTTTGTGGGAAAAATGTTCCATATGTCACTTGAATTCTGCTTCAAGGAATATACACACACACATATGTAGCAGAATTTTCCATAAATACATATATATTTAGTACTCTGCTTCAAAGGACAAATATGTATATACCATGTATATACACAAACACTATTATGGACTAAAATAAGACAAAATGTTTTATTTCAACGTGAAGTTAATAACTTTGTTTTATATTAACTCACATGAATCTTAAATTTTCTTTGACCTATTGCATTTTGAATAGCCCATTAAAATAAAATTCATTGTTTATATTTTTAGGTAAATTTACATTTTTTTTTTTAGGATTCCCAAGATATTTTTGTAAACTTTACATCGCAGGCACTAAAACTGCTAAAATAATCTTTCTCTCAAACACACAAACAAACAAAACTCAAAGAACGTGCATGCACACACACACACACACACACACCATTCCCTCTTTTTTTATTTAAAAGTTGAAAAATAATGATTTTTAAGTGATACCAAGATGTGTAGAAATAAAGTATTTTGTAAGCTGGGCAATTCATATTATCTATTTTATGAGAAAAAAAATAGTGGCACTGACATTGAATACTAGCCTAACACCCAAATATCTGGGAACTGGGAAGTCACCAAGCTCACCTGCATCATTAATATTCTTGTCCATGTCTGAGGGGGGCGGGAGATTCAGTACATAAACATTGTTATGAATTTTACACTCTATCCTTTTTAAGTTATGTGATATCCCTTTATTTGTGCAATACCTATTAAATTAGAGTTTTTTGATGCAATTATATTTGAATGGAATTCACTTATTTATAAATTTATGAGTTGGTTCAAAATTATGATTAAAAAGGAATCATAATAAGAATATGTTCTCTAAGAAAAACTGTAAAGAGATGAATATTTTCAGCAACATTTCTTTTTAATTGAATTATTTCATCCCTTTCTCTCATTAAATAATTTGAAGTAAACTAAATATATTTGATTTTATTAGGCTTAAATTGCATTTCTTCAAATTTTATAAACTAGCATTTATCTCTGTATATTTAATAAATGATCACAATAGAATCAATGTTAATATCTCCATTTACTCTTTTATAACTCCTATTATTGCTTAGTTTTCCAACTTATAATATGATAAACATCCCATTTAAAATGAATCTAAAGAGTCATAGCTGTAACTATATTAAAAATCAAGATGAAATGGAACAAAAGAAACTATGCTCAAATTGTCAAAGCCATAACCTTGAGAATTTGCACATTTCTTCAGTTTGTATCTAAAATGCATTCCTGTTTGGAGGAAGAGAAACTTCTACTACATAGAAAATAAATAAATAAATAGATAGATAGATAGATAAAAACCAGGCAATTAGGAATATCCTGTTTAAAATAAAGCTGTTAAAACACAGATAAGTGAACCAACTTTAACAGTCAAGGGGGAGACAAAGAATGTGTGAGCACCAGAGACATCTTTGGGTATGAGTTTTGGTTCTCCTATTTTTGACGTCTTTGGTCTTGGACAATGAACAAAATTGAGCCTCAGTGTTTACATCAGAAAAACAGGAAGCACTTATTTCCCAGGGTTGTCTTGAGAAATAGATAACATGTAGAATTAAGAAAACATAATCTGGGGCCAGCCCGGTGGCGCACTGCTACAGTGCGCCGCTTGGAAGCGCGGTGGTGCTCCCGCCGAGGGTTCGGATCCCACATACAGACTAGTTCCCGCTCACTGGCTGAGCGAGGTGCGGGTGCAGCACTGAGGGTTGCAATCCCGTTGCCGGTCCCGGTCCAGTACGGGCGCGACACTGAGGGTTGCGATCTGTTGCCGGACACGAAAAAAGACAAAAAGAAGGAAAAAAAAAAAAAAGAAAACATAATCTGTACTCAATATACGACGGGATTAGTGTTCAGTTCTTTTCTGTAAAACAAATGTGTTTTGCATGTAGTTGCATCATACAATTAGTGAAATAGTTGATTTATTTCCTGTAAATAGTTATAGTTTTAATACTGGAAAAATTCTTTGGTGTTATTGCACCGATTACTTTTTAATTTCAAACATTTCTATTGATTATATGGGAAAAAAGTAGATGAGACTGGTAGAAGATCATATGGAATCTCTATAACTATCTAGCTGTCTATCTTCTATCCATCCTTTGAAGTATAATAATTCATAAACTTTCCAAGAAGTTTAAAGTATTCTTGATTTAGAGCCGGCCCGGTGGCGCACTGGAGAGTGCGCCACTTGGGAGTATGGAGGCGCTCCCGCCGAGGGTTCGGATCCCATGTGGAGACCAGTTCCCGCTCACTGGTTGAGCACGGTGCGGGCGCAACACTGAGGGTTGCGATCCCGTTGCCGGTCCCCGGTACGGGCGTGACACCAAGGGTTGCGATCCCGTTACCAGTCAGTAAAAAAGACAAAAAAGGGAAAAAAAAAAAAAAAGTATTCTTGATTTATATCACATATCTAAAATCTGAACATTTTATTTCTCTCAAATTTTTTTCACTACAAAACACTCATTGCTACAACACATTTCAATTTCTGGCTTTTGAAAATTGTAGTTTGTTCTAAAATAGTGGCCTAAGCTTATTTTCAGAAGGTGTATATAGCAGTGAACTAAAAAGAATAACATTTCTTTTTAGGTCACTGTGCTAATTTTTAATGAGTTAAACATAATCATTTATAAAATGTTACAAATGACTTGATGTGATTTCTAGTATTAATATAAGCATTATTTTAGAACAGCATGTTTAATTTCAAAGCATTTTCAATTTTTTCATATAATTTTATTTCATAATTGTGTCATAATCTAAGAATTGTTATTAGCACCTTCATTTTACCAATGACAACATTGTTATTGAAAATTCAGTAACATACATGAGACAAATGATATATGTCAGTGGTTATATGTATATATCATGATTTTTTAAAAAAGAATGCATCACTGAAACTTTTATACTTAAGCCAGAAAAATTCCTAGATTGGTAATTAATATGTCTGCTCAAGACTGTGAATGTCTTAAATGTAGAGATGAGCTGATCAATATGGAAAGAAAATGTTAAAATAT